AGCGTCGAGCATCGCCGTCTGCTGCGCTTCAGCAGAACTCGCGGCATCCAGAACGAAGTGTGTGTATAGTGCTTGGGAAATATCCTTCTTCACCACATCCACTCCAATAACCTTCCACCGATTTCCAAGCAGCGTGCTTGTTACCGCTTGCCCCAGTGCACCACACGCACCCACAACCATTGCTGTCTTTGGAAGCATTTCTGTGGTTTCCTCCACGCAACCTGCAATGAGGGCAAATAAGACAATAGAAATAATAATAAAACAGAAAGGGATGCCTTGGGAGAAAACGCATAGAGAAGCACAGAGTCACATATATTTTCTCATCCTCTCTCGCTCTGTCTCTCATACACAAACACATGGGACAGTGACGGACAACGCCACATTGCTCCTGGGTTGCACCCTACCAAGGCCAAGTTTTTTTCGCCGACCTCACCACTTCCTCCAGGGTACAAATAAAAAAAAAAAAACCGGTCTCTCCCCACTGCCCATCCGTCGCCCCTCCCCCTCTCCCGGTACGAGAAAAAGGAATAAATACGCAAATGCTCCTAGCTAGTGCTCTAAACAACTACCTACGGTCTGGTTGAATGTCACTATCAAAGGTTTCCCCTTCTAGAATCATGAGCTCCTGCGCCTCACGCCGCAACCGCATGCGACGCAGTGCCTCCTCTCTGGCCCAGTCCATTCGACTATTCAGCTTGGAGTAGTAGGCCCACACGGCGAACTCCACACTTACAATACCGATTGCTATGTGCCATATCTTCTCCCACATCGGCCAATCGTCCCACTGGTAGCGGAATGTTGCCCGCGGTGTGTACGGGTACGGGTCGCCATCCCCCCACGCGAGGCGGCGGAACTTGGAGCGCCGAAAGGCCATCTTGGCCATTTTCTGGTTCCACCCTGTCATTCTGCCAAGACAGATACGCTTGTGTATAACAGCAATAGTAATCATAGTAGAAGGAAGGAAAACATTTTTAACCCCCCCACCCCCAAAAGAAAGAAAAGAAAGCACCGCATAGCTTTACACAGGCCGCGGAAAACAAGAGGTTTCCCACAATGCTGAGCTGCACCACAGATCATACGCAAAAGAGTGTAATAGGAGGTAGGGCTACTTACAAAGAAAAACAGAAAGCCCCTTTTCTTCGCTTGGCAAAAGAAGCTCTTATCCATATCATAGGCAGATGAGCTTATAGAAGATGGTGCCAATAGCGTTTCAGTAAATTATGGAGATTCTAAGCACGATTGACGAGACCGGCGGATTCAGCACCCAAAAATGCAACCCTGCACACCGGGCACTTCTTTCCCTTGTGGTCAGGATGTGCAGGGGAGTAACAGTAGCTGCATCGTATTGGATCAATTGTGCCCTTGTACATGGGCCTGTGAGAAACGGAGCACAACACAAATGGATTGCGTTCGTCGTATTCAACAGGCTCTGCATCTGTCGGGTTTCGCTCTCCCTCAGCCACAATAGCAGCTGCCTGGTTGGCCTTTGCCTTTGGAGGGTCTTGGTCAAGAAGCCGCCTCGCGACCGCAGCAGCTGTCTTGATGCTCTTCTTCTTGTAGGCCTTACTCATGGCCTGTGAGAGGGCCAAAGTAAGATGTGCGCGTTGAAGTTTGAAGTGCGTAAAGTAGAGCGACAGCTCAAGTGCCTCTTTAGAGTTTCCGTCAGCGTTACGGCAGTGAAGCTGCACGTTGAGTGCACGTGCGTATTCAGGGGCTATTGTCATAAACTCAAGAAGTGTTGCCCGCTGTTTTTCGTTTTTGTACGTGGCCAACGCCGCCTGGTGAATGACAGCAACAAACTGCTCAAGAGCATCAGAGAAGCGTCCTTCCACGAACGCCGCGTAGCCCGCTTTCAGCTTTTCGGTTAACACAGGTACGTAGTCCGGCAGCTGGGGCACGTGCTGGGAGCCACGCTGCTCCTCCATCGGGAACGTGGTGAGGGGAAACATAACGGATGGGACAAGCGATGCCGGTCGCGATGCGTTTACTGATGCCCACAAGTTTATCATATATGGCTTCAATGGCGCCGGGTCACACAGCCCAATTTGACGGCGAAGGAGATCAAACGCAGTTGAGAAGGATCCAGCTGCCACGTGGAATGCCGGCAGAGAGTAGTTATCAACCCACTGCCGCGATAGTGGCGGGTGTTCGTTGGGTACAACGTACATACCTTTCTGCGCCCCATCCGCTCCGCGTTCTACTGGCACTTCAATGTCGAGGTCGTCATCCCATCCCCCACCCTCAACGCCGTTCAGCTCCTCCGCCTCTTCGGCATCCCTCCCCGCGGCAGAGTCGCCCTCATCCTCGTCCCATCCAGCGCCTGCTAGGGCCTCTTCCTCCTCCTCTTCTATTCCAGCCTCAATACCATTAAATTGGTTTGGTTCTTTCAAAAGACGTGCAAAAACGGATTCTTCTACCTGTAGCATAGGCCAATTTTCTGTAAGGGCAGTAGGTCGTGTAGCCTCCGAGACGCAGTTAACCTTAGTTTGCTGCATACGTTCAGCCACTTCAGGTTCCATCCTCTCAAGCAATTCGGATGCCAATTCATCAAGCCCATTTGATTTTGCCGTTAAGTACGCTAACGGTAGTTGGCCCGCATTTACTAGTATCTTGACGCGCTGTTGAACGTCTTGTAGATACAATCCGTAGTGAAGTTTGAAATTGTCATCATTGGTTGTGTCGACCAGGTGACCAAGGGCAGCCAAATTCCCAGTAATCAAAGAAAGCAGGCCAGCCCCGTGGTAGTTCCCAGTTTTGGAGTTGGCAAATTGCCCGAGTTGAATATCACCATAACTCGTCGCTGCTTCGGCCAAACGTCTCCAAACAGCAGCTTGGTTCAGTTCAAGCGCTGTGGCCTTCGCGATGTCCAAGGCCCCACACTCTACAGCCAAGTTAAAGCGAGTAAGCGGCTCAGTGACGAAATGCAGAGCTATCTCAGAGTGGCCGTGTTTGTGGAGGTATCCAACGAGTGCCTGTCCCTTGAGTTGTTTTCGATGAATGATCTTGATCACATCACGGTACGATTGTTGTTGGAGTTTTAACTTAAAATTGAGTTCAAGGTTTTCAAGTTCTTGCATTATGACTCTACCTTCCCGTGTAATCGCCCAGATAGTATCGCCACTTGCCCGTACCAGATACGCAGGGCTTTTCATGGTCTGAATAGTGCTACACTCTCCAGTACGCAGATTGCAGTACTTCAAATGATTGGCGGTGGTATAATAAAGAATATTACGCTGCTCATCAAAAGAAGCAGATTTCATGCGCACTGTTGGTTCCACAATAGTTGTAATCATCTTCAAACGTCTGGTCATTACCGTGATAGAGTTCTTCGTCATGAAAGCCACCTTGTTGAAATCTTTGTCCCAAACAACATGTCGTACCCCAGACACAGTCGCCGTCGCCGTAACATCATGCTGAGCCATGTGGTACAGCTCGACACCTTCTTCTGTTTGGCACACAATAGAGCCCATCGGACCGGGGAATACCCGTTTGCAGCTGTGTTCAGGAGTTACAACCTTTTCACGGTCTCCCTGGCAGTTGCAAACAGCCAATTTTTTGTTTTTATCCACAAAAGCGTATTTATTTGGGGAAAAGAAAACGGCGTCGGTCACATTTGTACGTTTGCGTACGTCTGCATCCACAGCATAGCCCGGCTTGGGGATGGTAAACGTCTCCGCCACTCCACCATCGGTATCGTACCATACAACCGCCATGTTGTCCACCGGATTGCAGGAGATGGTGCGGGGTGGGTGGAGGTGTGGCGATAGGACGAACTTATACTCTACCTTCGATTCCAGGTCGTGTGAGTATAGTGTATTCTCGTAAATATAGTGGAGTAATTTCCCGTTTAGAATCCACGCAGGACGCTCACGGAAGAGCTTAAAAACCTGCATACCAGAATCGTGTCCTGCAGCGATGAGATTCTTTTCTGGGAGTGTTGCCAAAATCCAGTAACGATCCGCCTCACGGCGAAATACCATGATCGGGTTGCGTGCCTTTACATCCCATACACGGATTGTGCGATCCTCACTATTAGATATGAGGAAGTCTTTCATGTAGGTTACGCAGCACACATTGTTGGTGTGGCCCCGAAGCTGAATTTCCTCATGACAAGAGGAATCCATCATACGCCAGACACGCACCGTGCGGTCATCCGCCGCAGAGGCAATATACGGTTTCATGGGGTGAAAGCAGACCCAATTAACGCCCTTCTCATGCCCCTCGAGCAGATACTTAAGGGCAACATCGCTTGTGCCAAGGAGATCCTGAGCGAGCCCCACTTCCTGCTTGCGCAGCCGCAGCGACGATATGTCCCAGACGCGAATGGTCCTGTCAAGACTCCCTGACACCACTAGATCCTCAGTCGGGTGAAACTGAGCGCACATGACGTAGTGATTGTGTCCAGGGAGACACGCAACGCTGCTTCGACTCTGCCAATTCCAAATCCTGACGGTGAAGTCGTCAGAGCACGACAGGATCCAGGGCTGCTCGTGGTGAAAGAATGTAACACGGATATAATCCATGTGCCCCTTCAACGTAAAGAGACAGCGACGGAGTTTGTAATTCCACACCTTGATCAAGTAATCATCAGCTCCCGATACGAACAACGGCTGCGAAATGTGGAAGTCGACACCACGGACGGAGCCGTTGTGCTCTGTGTAGGTATCGATTGATGTGTTTGTGCGGTAATCCCAAATCTGCACTGCGCCGTTGTGCAATCCGCATAGTACCCATGGCCTCGTCTTGTGGAAGCTGATTCCCTTCACACGGCAAGAGCGCACGTCAAACTTGGTAAGCATAACTACGATGAGACTTCAATGCTTGAAAAACATCGACACACACATTGGAAGAAAAAGAGAGAAGAGTTCCGCACCAAAGGAAACTTTAATTATTCACCTCTCTCAGTCTTCTCCTGTATACATATACCTAGCAATATATATATATATATATGTCTGTGAGTGATAAAAACACGGAAAATCATAGAACCACAACAACTCTACCCCTATCCGTTGAATTACTCGAACAGAAACCCACAGCTATCAGCAAACACCTGCCTCACATTGATGTTAAGACGCATGTGACGCATCTGTTCCCGCCAGTACGCCTCACCCTCATCTTGATCGCCACTGATGTCCCCTGTTAGTGTACACAAGTGCGGTGGGCAGTCGTCCATGATACGAGGCACAGAGTGGAATGCTGTGCGAGACGGACCGCAGAACACTGCCACGTCGCCACTCCGAAGCCAGAAGGCATACGGCGCATCATCACGTGATGGTGTCCCCATGAGGAACACACAAGAGCAGCCTAGCGAGATACTAATCAGCGGTTGCTGTATCAACTCTTCGCTAACGTCCTGGTGGGCCATTAACATAGAACCCACAGGATAGTAATTGACAATTGATGTTTGAGGCTCGAATACGAGAGGATCGTTAGCCTTCAGCAAGGGTGTCTTGCTTAATAGACTAACGATCCGCTTAATATGTTTCCTCAGTCGCTGCGGAAATGGCGAATAGCGCTCCTTGCAGTACGACTTCAACGTCCAATTGTAGCTGAAGCCAAGTGTCGCCCAGCGCATCGGTGGCTCGTACCGCGTTGTGCTTCTCGGCTTGCTCGCGTGCGTTGAAAGGTGATTAGGATGCCTCTGAGAATCACCATACTCCAGCAGAGCATCACGGCAGAGTTCCTGCTGATCCGTCTCGCTAATAGCTTGGGAGAAAACGAGTAGCCCAGGCACACCAGCAAACGTGAAGCATTTCACATGCGCATCATCAAAGCCATCAAGCACACCAATGAGAGAACGATTCTTCTCCGTGTTTGTCTCAAGGCAGTGGAAATCCACTACATCACTAAAGTCTGTTTCTGGTACATGCGTGCGCCGAGCAGTGCGGCGATCGTACCGGTACAACTTGTAGCGCTTCTCCGCACATCGAAAGGCCGACAGCGCGAGATCCCCGTCACTTGTACACTGCTGTGGGATAGCCTGTCCCTCTGGTGGCACCACCTCCATATGTTAAATCTAGAAGGCGCAGACAGAAACACAAAAAAATGTTCACGCCCAAGTCGCAAGCGTGCAACTCAATTTCGCACAACAGAGATGTGAAGCAGGAGAAGGGCAGTCAGTACATCACTCTATCCAAATGCAGTTCCACCCGTATAACAGTGAACAGGGAGATGAAGATATTAACGGAGCCACTAAAGCACGAAAAAAAAAAATCAACGCATACCAGAAGACAGCACCGGAAGAAAGTAACATTAGTAAAAGATTGCACACCCAACAAAAGTAAGAATTACTACTACTTATCTGTTGATATCTACTATGTGTGGTGGTGTTTCGACCACACCGTGCAGATCAGCAACAGTGGCTATCGAAGAAGTCACGGTACACCAACGACATATGATATCACATACACAGAACGGGGGCACAGTGAACCGCCAGTAATTCAGCATGGAGGAGTTACTCCTTTTTTCATCTGGCTAGGAAATTATTCACGGTTCAAAACAAAAAAAAAATGCAACGCATCTTTATTCTAGCTGCCAGAGACAACGCCAGCACGGTGGTGCGTGTTACACTGCATCTTGACCAGGAGCCATTCTCTTCAACGCTGTCCCTGTCAACTGGGGTATCCATATGTACTCAAACACGGTGCTTGCCCTACCCCGAAGCAGCGGTCTACGCCTCCTCTCCAGTGAGTACATTCCTCTGCAGAGATAAAACCAGTAAAGGATTCCCATCCCACTCGAATAGAGAGCCCCATAAGAGGAGAAAAACACAACAGCCATTGTAAAAGGTCTCATTTTTGAGGCAAGCCACCACTCCTTCTTCAGCACTACCAGTAGCATCTCCTTAAGAGAGCTACCTGGCACAACCTCTAGGATCCAACGCCACAGCAACAATGATCCAAAAAATGCATTTAACCACAAAAGCAAGCTTACAGATGTCAAGAAAAGCAAAAAGAATCCCATATTGCGTTCCCCAATACATGCTCCTATAATACCACAGTGGTGATCAAAGTCACGCACATGCAGCCTGCAGACTGGGCAATAGTGCGCCTTTTCATCAACTGCAGAAGCGGCAAATCCGGGGTCACAAACTAGCAAGCATATTATCATCACCTCACAGAGAGCAGAGAGCATCACGATGCTACAGGTCAGTAGAAGCATGTAGGTGTAGGGAATCAACTCCAGTATCACTGGGCTGAAGCCTATAAGTCTGAGGCATATAAAAACACCTAATGGAATGCCAGCCGCAATCACAGCACCTGGCTGAAAATCTCTAGCAAGATTCAGCCAACCACAGAGGATAACTCGGCCACCCAGCACTTGCAAGAACGGCACACGCATCTCCTACCTTCGCACTTAAGAGCAAAGAATTTTTTTTTAAAAAAAGGAATGAAATCAAAATATCTCAGGCAAGTCCACACACAATCAGTATCATTCAGTGAAATCATCCCTTCCTCCTTTCATTCTTCTTGCTGCCCGGCAGCTTCTGATCGATTACTCTTAAAGGGGCCCCTCATTCCTAATAATGGGTATTAAGATTAATATCCGCGTCCACGACCGCCGAAGTTACCGCGACCACCGCCGCCACCGGATTTGC